AATCGTGTTATTGAAAACCAGTGCTATTGTAAGGGGGCTGATGTGAAATGGCAAGAGCGAAAAACAAGATCGAGAAAAAGCGTGAGCGAGAAATAGCGTGAGCGAGACATAGCGTGATCGAGAAATAGAGTGAGCGAGGTTCAACGTTATCGTTGTTCATCGAGAGCGAGAGAAATTCTAGTGGTTTACAATTATTTTTTTCAACTTGTTACGTGTTTTCTTATGTGCTTAATTTGTGATCATATATCATGTTTAATTTGTTGCAAGTGCACAATGGACTTAATTTGTTGCAAGTGCACAATGGACCATCAAATGATGATTAAAGAGAATGATCGCTTTCCGGCTCAAGCTACCAGCATGTCTCACTTGATCAATGTGAACAGGCTTATCGAGGATAAGCTCACAGCAAAAAAACTTGATACGTTTCGTAGAAAAACAATATTTGGTCGATTTGACTAACTGGAGATGATGTTTTGCAGTGGTGTAGTTCATCACTTTCTATCAAGGGAGATTGCTAGTAGCAGTGAAGATAGCACGAGATTCTTCATTGTTGGCAATGTGTTGACATTCTCGAAGGATCAATTCTTGCTTATAATGAGATTGTGGCGGCTGCCCGGTAAGGTGGTCCAGAAAAAGATTCAAAAGAATAGGTTGCGGAGGAAGTACTTCAACAACGAAGTGTCCATCTTGCGTGAACATTTTATGGAGGTTTACAAGCAGATTGATTTCGAAGAAGATGACGATGTCGTTAAAGTGACATTAATGTTGTACACCAAGCTCGTGATGATGCGAAAGAGCAAGAGCAAGTCCAAAGTTGACATCAACTTGTACAACAAAGTGGATGACTTGGACTACTTCAACCACTTGGACTGCGGTTCTGATGTTTGGAGTAGGACACTTAATGGGCTCAAGCGTGCAATGAATGGCAAAGTTGCGCTATAAAATAATAGAGCCAGGACGAACAAAAAATATCAAGTGAATTATAGCCTAGCTGGATTTCCTCCTGGGTTTCAGGTAATTAATACGTATGCATAATAGTTTCTGTTTGTTGTTTAAAACGTTTTGAGGCGTGAGATTAAACTTCGATTTTATTTTCAGGTGTGGATATATGAGGTTGTCTCATCTCTCATTACTCCTGGTGTTAATCGGTTGAGTAAGACCGCAATTCCCCGTATATTTTGGTATTCATGTAGTAGAGTCGTTGGTACAAAAGATTTGGGGAGGAGGTGTTTAGTTCAGCGGAGGTAAGCAATATAAAATCATGTATGCTGCAAAGTAACGTAGAATATATTTACTGTTGTGTAGTTCTATTGAATTGTATTTACACATCTGTTCTTCAAATATATGTATAGTTGGTCATATCTTATCCACTAGTGCAGACGGAGCTAGAGAGGGACTACTAGAGGTGTCCATTATACGAAAGAGAGGTCGTGGACACAGGTGCGCTCGAGGGTTCTACTTTCGACAGCGAGCATGGACAACATTCTTCCCCCATCAATGACAATGTTGGAGTTGAAGGCGATCTCCCGCTTGACGATGCACATATGTCGATATCGACTGTACTGGCGGTGGTGGAGAAGTCTTCAGACATGCCACATACATAGGCCACGTCCGAAGCTTGACAACTGACACCAGTTGAAATACCAAGTACTTCTATTCGTTCGAATATAGGGCAAAGCATGTTGCAAGCACCTCGATCGACGTCACGCGATTCTTACCCTACACAATGGGACGACACCCGTGGATCGAACAATAGATTTGGGGCAATAGAGAGATGGTTGGATCTTTCAGCTTCAAACATGGCAGAGGTCAAGACGGACATGGCGGAGGTCAAGTCGGATGGTGTGGCTTAGAAATCCAATTGTTTGCTTCTTTAGAATATGAAACATCTTTAATAAGTAAACAGTATGTCAACCTCCTACGAGTCAGATAATTCGTCTTCCGACAGAGCAACTAGTCCTATCTCAAATCAACCCTCCTCGATCCCGGAGAACAATGTTCAAGATCCATGGAATGCTGCTATTCAACAAGCAAGGGAAGAAAACGATCAACTGAGGAGAGAGTTGCATCGAACGCAGCACGAACTGAACAACACGAAGTACAAGTTAGCCAGAGTTGAAGCAACGCAGGACTTACTCGAAGGACTGCTGAAGGAGGAGAAGGAGGATTGACTTCGTCTAGAAGACAAAGTTACCCTATTACTGGCCCGTCTACGTGTTCGATCTCGTAATAATAATGCTTAAAATTATATAGTAGCGTATGATGTTGTTTTTAAGCTACTAAAAAATTAATTAATGGGATGTCGGTTTACTTAAAATTTCTCCCTTTTTATTATCAATGCTTATTGTTTCTCGTTATCGTATGGTTTTGTTTCTCGTTCACGCTATGATATTTAATTAAAATAAAAACATAATTAATTAGTTAAATAATTCAATTATGTGTATTATTTAACTTAATTAAATTAGTTTTAATTAACTAAATAGCACACATCTAAGTGGTATTATGGTGAGCTGGACAGTTAACTTGCTCCCCACTCCTCACTCTACTTTCAATGCAAAGAGTTTACATTATGAAATGGTTGGTGCATTTTGGTGCAAAATTTCACATTCTTTCTCAAATTAGCTCTCTCACTCAAAAAAAATTCTCTCGCTTTCAAAAGACGATTCCCACAAACCAGTCCTTAACAAAAGAATATAGGGGAATGCTTTTTGGTGGTGTTGGTGCTATTGTTGAAGAGTCTTCAAAGGTAGGTTCTCCTTTTTTGTGTTGCTTATTTCTTTTCTTTGTAGTTTTTACTAAAACATAGATGAAGCACAAGCGTTAACGCACTTCCGCTGTGGGATTCGATCCCTTCAAATTGTATCAGAGCCAAGTTGTTCTTTCGATCTTCTTTTGAATTACAAAGAAAAGCATGGTGGGTATTTTTCTCTACATATGATGTATGAGGTTTTCTAAATAGACGTTTTCGGTTTTTGGCATTAGATTTACAGTTTGTTTAGTTGTTTCAAGCAATGTAAGGGCTTTTTGTTTGAAAATTTAATTTTGTAAATGGAGTCTGTAAGTTCGTGTCACTCGTGGCAAGGTGTTGCTGTGAAAGAGTACCATAAAAATGAAGCAAATCAGAACGACCGTGCAGCCCGAGACAACGACACTCAAGCGTTGTCGTTTTCGTGGCGGACTCGAGAGTTCTGCGGAGGGGCAACGCCTAGGTGCTGTGCCTAAGACTTAGGCGCAGGTCAGTGGTGCCTAAGAGCTACCAATTTGCTGCGAAAACTCGAGAGGAACCTGAGGCTGTTATAGAGGGGCAGCACCTAGGCGCCGGGAAAGAATTTTTTTTATTTGTTGTAGGATGCAAAAAAAAAGAAAACAGTTTATTGTGCTATTTAATTATTATGCATTGTAAATGTATGTTTAATTAAATATATGTTTTATAATAGTATGTCATATAGCTTAAAATCTCATCATAGGTAAAGCATGTTTATGCATCATATGAAATATAATTATTATATAGTATTTGTTCTGGGAGGAAAATCACCGTACCACGTAGAGGACAGCGATACGCCCATATGGGCACAAATTTCGAGCTGGTCCACCTCGTACCCTTCGAGGTGGAACACTTAGCCATTTTTTCCTTAAATTCAGTTTGTCTCAAAGGTTCGATCTGCTCATGATCGATATGCCGAATCTGACAAGTTCGATCTGTTATCTGACAGGAATAACCGTCGGTCATGAGTCTCTGTCTGATCTCATACCTATAAATAGAAGGCCTCAGTCCTACATGAGGTATCGAATTTCTCCTCGAACCTACTATTGAGTCCAAGCTGTTTACTAACGTAAGCGTCTAAAAGTTTGCCCTCTTGTGCAGGTCGTACTGTAGCGCATAGAGTCGACAAGCTTCCGAATTCGAACTTGACCAAGTCATACCTTGTCACATTTTTGCATAAATAGCATGATTGAATGATAGTGTTAATACACATGTTATATTAATTAATAAGGGGTGTGCTACATGCTTATAAGTTTTATTTTTCATTAAATATAAGTCGTATACGATTGGATGAATAGCTTAAAACTTATAACAAAGAATTGCATGCTTACATAAGGTTTAACTATTTTTTTTAAAGAGTTTAAAATTGATTAATTAATCATTATGTTAAAGGTTTTTCTAATAAGATTAGAAATCAATTTTTTTTATATTTTAAATATGTTTAAAATGCGATAGTAGAAGATTAATTATAAAGGATTTATTATAAAGTTCCGTTTAAGCTTAGGGTGAGGTAATTAAGCTGATTGTAAGTGAACATCCATGACTTGCAATCGTCTTAGCAACTGAATTGACAAGGAAAAAGGGGAAAAAATTGGTTTGAGTAGAGCCAACAACACAACTAGTAGGCTATGAAATGGTCCGAGCGGTTCCCCTTAATTAGAGGGGCCACTACTAGAAATTCGGTCTACCGTGACGTTTTTTTGAAGTCACAAATATCTTTCGTGACGTTTTTATTGGCGTCACATATACGCCCATCACGAAAGGTATACGAGACGTTTAAAAAACGTCACCAAAATTAGCACACGTGACGGTTAATTAGCGTCACGAAAGACATGGACTTCCACGACGTTCATAAACCGTCATGAAAAATGATTTTGTGACGATTATAGAATGTCACGGAAAGACCTTGAAAATGGGAGGAGAGGTCACGTGACATCCTTTCGTGACGGTGTTTAAACGTCACGAAAATTGTATTTCGTGACGGTGTTTACACGTCACGAAAAGTGAATTTCGCGACGTTTGATAATCGTCCTAAAAAATATTTTGGTGACAGTTTAAAAACGTCACTAATGATTTCATTTTGTGACGATAAAAAGAGGGTCACTGGATACGCATTTAATTTTGATTGTAGATGTCGCGGAATATAAATATCATATTGTTAAATTGTCGTTCGAACACACAAATATATTAATTTACCATAACAAAGTTGAAATATATTAAACATGAAGAAGGAAGTTAATATATTAATTTAGAATGTATTAGTATTCTCAAACACAAATTACATAATTACAGAATTAAATATGTTCTTTACACACCAACCCCAACAACGATGCTCAGCCACCAATTAGTTGCATTTCTAATTGTCGACATCTTTGGGTTAAGAAAGACCTAATGAAAAAACAATACCCAAGTTAGATAAATGATTAAACAAAAACCAACCTACTCATCAACATTCATAGTCTTCCTTATCAACTTACTCGATAATATAATAAAACAACCAACATAACGACCAAACAGAAGAAGCGCGATTCAAATAAACGACATGCCTACACTTTTTCTACATCCTTAAATTACATAGCRCAAAATATCAGTACAATCATCYKRTAAGGAAARTATCAATATGATATGATAACCAACAAAATGATCAAACAAAGTTYTAACATAACTGAARAGGYTACAATAACAAAAATAACYGAACACTTATTCTATATCYTTCAGCAGCATAGCACAAAATGAACTTAAATAATATAACACAAACTAGCTAATATAGYAGAGGGATTGTAAACGTACATTCCTCGTCTATAATCAATATTCAGTATTTCTTGTAAACGTACTCAATAATATAGCTATAGTCCCAGCATATAACAAGTTCGATTCATAAGTATTTAATATTCAAATGCTATAGTATGAATGATGACGAAAAGCTTAAAATAGCTTACCTTTGTTATGATGGAACTTTGAATGAAATGGCCACAATATGCTTCAGCTCACCCGAACGCAGTTCGACAAGCATTTCTAGTGCGAAGATTGCTCCTGTCATATAAACCAATAATAAGCAACTTAGGAAAATGAGCTTTCTAAAAAACTTGACATAAACAATAACATCCAAACAAAGTTTTAAATAATACAGTACCACATATGCATTGATCTACGAAGCCGACCAAAAATTTCTTGTCTGACAAAATAGATACGTCAAAGTAGTGTGTCTGACGAAGTAGTTCTACCAGAAAATTTAAATATTCAGATTACTCTAAGTACTACACCTTCAAATGAATAAACAATGATATAGTTAATAACTCACACCAAAGTTTTTCTCTTCGTCATGAAAGTATAAGGTGGCCAACATTCCAAAAAATAAGCGAGACAAAAGTGTTGCTACCAATGCATCAACCATGAACTCGAACAATGTGCAAGCAAAAAAGAATATTATATGCAACATGAGTTCATGGTCGGCCAAAAAAAGTAAATACACATCTTATGAAAAAGTAAGGTAGGACCCAACAAACTCGGCCCACTCCATTCTCAACACGTTTATGTCGTCTTTTGTGTATTCTTTCGGTTCAAGTTTCATCTGCAACATCGAAAGATTTTGATTTCTAGCAGAAGCAGATCCCAACTAAAACCCACTAACAAACTTAGCATAGCCAACAAGGTTATATACATCGTTCTTACAAACTCATGATACAGTCTCCCCACAACAACCATGCAATAGTTCTTTCTCAAATCCACTGACAAACTTAGCATAGCCAACAAGTTTCTACATCATTAAAAAATTTTACCACATCTCCCAACACAACAAAATACTTTCATAAATGTATCAACAGAAACTAAATATCAAACCCTATATGGTTAATTAAGGAAAGATAGAAAGGGATAGTACCCAAAGATTGACGAAGAGCGCGGTGTTCAGCCCTGATGTTTTCTACCAGTGGCAATTATAGGAAGCTCAGCAACTTCACGACCAAAGATTCTAAGAAAACCAGCCGATACAACTAGACGACGAGTCCAAAGCTGGAAAACTTTAAGGTCCAAAACTCTCTAGTTCAGAAAAACACCAAGCTGCAAAACAACCGACATCAAGTTAAGTTATATAGAAAAGTAAAGGGAAAAAACGCAAAGTAGGTGCCTCCAATATGAATAAAGCTTTCACTAAATTCAAATCTTGTGCTAGAAAACACATTGCTTTCAAATTTATGAGCTTTGCTTCCCTGAAAATGAACAAAGCTTTCACTAAATTTACAAATTACCATATTCCCATGTTACTCGAATAGAATTTATATTTGCTCCTTGTACTAAGTTAACTGTGTCTCTCCAAACCTTTAATGTTGGCGTCAGCCATTTTTCGATCTATAATTGAATAAGTAGAAAAAGATGATAGAAAGTATGGGGAAAAATGCAAGTTTTTAGACTTTATTAGCAATTTAATTTGAGCTAATGAGCTCAATAACAGATGACAGTGAGCAAGAATTTCCTTCTGTAAATGGTTCATTCACAATGAGAAATATATTTACTTGCAAGTTGCAACTATCAACATCTGCAGTGATCTATAAGACATTATACCATAGTAAAGATGCTTGCTTTTTGATACTCATAGTAACTTGAGCACCCTCTAAGGTCTTGATAACATCAATTATTTCCCTTCAATCTCTCTTAAAGTTCTATTCCCTTCATTTACGTTGTAGTTTGAGTGCTCTGCCTAGGGTCTGGTTATTGCTAAAGACGTTAAAAGTGAAAACTATTGATCAAATACCACCTATCTTGGATCTCTGTAGGTCTTGTTCCTACATCTATTTGGTCAGTGTTGCTCCAACTTGTATTGAAGTCTACTCCCATTTTTTTTAATTGAATAAAAGAATCCTAATATTTTAATCCTGCTATTAAATTTCTTTTGCTTTGAAAATTAAATCGTTTATTTACATGCTTGGTTTGTCAAATGAATTCATGTTTCATTTAGTCTGTTATATTAACATGCATTAGATTGAATGAGATGTATTGTCTATAGATGTAATACTGTACCTACTAGAAGAATCTTTTTGTTTCTGGCTTTCAACTAAATTCTTACATGCTGACCTAACAATTGGTTTAGGGACACGAGTTGACTCAGCGGGTCCTGTATAGGTTATTTGGAGAGGCAGAAGAGGAACACGATTTCTTTTCATCTACAACTGAAAAGCAAAGTCTGAATTAGCAATGAAAAGATCAGGTGGGACTTCGGAAGTAGGCACTCAAATTATATACCGAAATTTTGGAAAGATACGGCTTTTGATGTGTAACCGCACTCAAATTATATATGAAATATCTCCATCGCCCATCACATATCATAACCCAATCAGACGGTGCAAAACCACCCATACCATTCCCAGCTTAGTTATTCCCTTCACCATCTCCTCTCCTACAGTAATATTATGCTGCCCTCTCTTTCCCAATCCAACGCTACTATATAACTTCAGTTGACTTCCTAAACCCACACAAATTTATATTTCTTATGGGATTGACTTCCCAATCCAACAACAGAGAGGCAGAGAAAGAAAGGGGTTTGGAATTGTACCTGAGAAGGAGAAGAGGAAGTTGTTTCAATGGCAGTGACTGGATTGGCTTGTTCTTCTTCTTTCTTCGGAGGCTGGGGGTCTTCGGTGGCCGAAGAGGACTATGCGGCGCTGGCGGCGGCGAAGACGGCAGCTGTAAGTGAGAGTGGGGAAACCGGTGAGATTCATGTCGATGATGAAGAACGTGAAGTCGAATAGAGAGGACGGCAAAACAAAGAGGCGCAATGGGGAGTCGTTTAGAAATTAGGGATTTCGTCTGAAAGGGTAAAGGGAGATTTAGGGATTTAGTGTCAATGAGAAGTTTTTAGGAAACCTTTGCCCGTCAGAGAATACAAAATAATTTTTAAAAGATTTTGTACTTAATTTTATTTTTTTCCCTCTTCTCTATGTTTTGAAATTTAAATTCTAAAAAAAAAATTTCTTGTTTTTTTCAAAATTTCCTTTTTCAAGATTCATTAAATCTTTTCGATGGAAGGAAAAAAATATATGAAAATATTGGGTATTAAATATATAGGTAAAATTAGAAAGTAAAAAAGAAAAATCGCAATTATTTAGCCCTCAATATTTAAATAATATTCTGAGAGCAAAATTTCGAATAAATTTTAGGCTTCTAGACTTTTATGTTTTCTTAACTTGCATTCCAACAAATTAGTTTAAAATAGTTAAATTCTTTATTTTTTTCCTCCAGTTTTGTAATTTATAAATTTCAACAAAAATTTTGCATTTTTATTTTTCTTAAGATTTGCTATATCAAATTGCAATCCATTGTATTGAAAATGTAAGCATTATTTAAATCTTTTTGGATTGATGAAAAAAAATCCATGGAAAACTGACTTTAACACGAAAAGCAACTTTAGTGACGTTTTATCAGATGTCACTAAAATACAGTTTTTCAACTTATAGTGACATATAAACAACGTCACGTAAAGTCATACCTTTTTACGAATAAGACTGGAATCTTCTTATCGTATCGTGATGATTATAAAACGTCACGGAATATTATTTTTCGTGACGTTTTATACAAGTCATGAAAAAGCCACCAATCCGAAGAAACTCCGTCTTTTCCCACCAAAAACGCGAAAACACGACAATAACGCGTCTCAAGGTTTTTTCGTGACGTATTTAGACAATCGTGAACGGTATTTTACTGTTCAGTACCGTCACGAAATCCAAAATTTCTAGTAGCGCCAACAAACGGCTATGAAGTGGTTCGAGCCGTTCACCTTAATTAGAGGGGCTGTGGTGCAAGCATAGTAAATTTCGCTGAAGCCTCTATTCAGAGAGAAGAGCACGAAGGCAATTACACGCTACTCAAACCAGTAGGTGGTAACCCATGACGTTCACAGCCTCAGCTAAATACAACTCACACACTTGAAACATTTCCGATGTGGTACTCAGTTCTCAAATGTATTATTTAACTTTGTTTTCACACCAATTACTGTCGGCTTTTCCCTCCATCGGCATTCAGCAGCTCCACCTTAATTTCAAATTACTACCAATTTCATTTCATCATTATCCCTTTGCTTCTTCCAATTTCATTTATCTGCAAGCTACCAATTTCATTATTCAACAATACCATTTGTGATCTGAAAAAATAATCACGCTCAAATTCAATATAATATTAATATTTATATTATTTTATCATTCAACAATACCATTTTCTCATATTATCTTGAAGAGAAGTGACCTTCAAAGAAAAAAGAATTTTATTTTTATTTTAAATGTCTCAGGTTTTATTGATCATTATTCGTAAGGTAAATAATGAACAACAATTATGAGTGGCTTAAAACCGTTAAAAAGATTTTAGTTATTTGAATTTGATTTGGTCTCCTAAAATAAATTCTTTCATGAATCTCAGCACCACTTCAACGTAAAAGACATATTGATCTCTTCGAAATAATTAATCTCGGCACCTCTCATCTTCAATGTTTGAGCAAAGTTTACAACAACTCAATGTAACTAACTAAAACATGTTTTAGTCTTTTTATTCTTTCAGGGAAAAAAAACAAAAACAAAAAAAGATGAAATAATTACGAACGTAGTTTCATTTTTCTTGATTCAGAAAATAGAAATCAAAATTCAAGGACAAAAAATGTGAGGCAAGAAACAAGAAACGTCAGAAACAAGAAAACGAAATATGANATGTGGTACTCAGTTCTCAAATGTATTATTTAACTTTGTTTTCACACCAATTACTGTCGGCTTTTCCCTCCATCGGCATTCAGCAGCTCCACCTTAATTTCAAATTACTACCAATTTCATTTCATCATTATCCCTTTGCTTCTTCCAATTTCATTTATCTGCAAGCTACCAATTTCATTATTCAACAATACCATTTGTGATCTTCTTAAAAAATAATCATGCTCAAATTCAATGTAATATTAATATTTTATATTATCTTATCATTCAACAATATTACCATTTTCTCATATTATTTTGAACAAAAGTGACCTTCAAAGAAAAAAGAATTTTATTTTTATTTTAAATGTCTCAGATCTTATTGATCATTATTCGTAAGGTAAATAATGAACAATAATTATGAATGGCTTAAAGTCATTAAGAAGATTTTAATTATTTGAATTTGATTTGTTCTCTTAAAATAAATTCTTTCATGAATCTCAGCACCACTTCAATGTAAAAAACATATTGATCTCTTCGAAATAATTAATCTCAGCACCTCTCATCTTCAATGTTTGAGCAAAGTTTACAACAACTTAATGTAACTAAATAAAACATGTTTTAGTCTTTTTATTCTTCTCAGGGAAAAAAAAACAAAAACAAAAAAAAATGAAATAATTACGAACGTAGTTTTATTTTTCTTGATTCAGAAAATAGAAATCAAAATTCAAGGACAAAAAATGTGAGGCAAGAAACAAGAAACGTCAGAAACAAGAAAACGAAATATGACTAAACAACTCCCTCYCATATTTCCCCAATCTTCATAAAAACTAAATACTATTTTGTATCTGCCTCTTAAATTCCAGTCCTCAGTATTAATAAAGTTTAACATTGCTCATAAAAATGGTCCGAAAATAAACTTGAAATGAATCCTCAGWTTCTATTGACAGTATTATTTCAAAAACAATATTATTTGAAATAATTTGTAAAATTAAACTCGTAAATTATTATTATTATTTTGCAAAGGAATTAAACTYGTAAATTATTGTTGGTTAATTTTGGACAAGCCTCAGTAGACCAATTCTTTGGCAGCTTGCATGACACCCACTGTTTGGCTATCCACCTACTGGCTCTCAGGTTTTCGAGGTTCCATGACCAAGACCTCCACGTGAAGTGCTCTRTGTTGATCGCCTAGGAATATTCTCCCWAGGCAAGTCACCCGTCGCCTATTACACCAATTTCCTCCTCTCTCCCATTTCATTTTTCTGTTTAACGAGTTGAATTGTGTTGTTTTTGTTTTCTCGTTCTGATGTATATAAATTGTGCCTGATCTTACGTGGTTTGTTTACTTTTGTTTTTCTTATTCGTGCTCCTGCAACATTTCTAGAGATATAGTCGAGCTACATGGCTCACCTACCATTGATCTACTAAGGTCATCTACTACCAAACTCCTAAGCTCACCCATGGTCGAGCTCCAAAATTCATATGGTTGAGTTCCTAAGCTCATCTACCATCAAACTCCTAAGTTCATCCATATGAAAGGATGTATAATGGACCCTCAAAATATCTCAAAACAAAAATGGAAAACAATTTCTAAATTGTTTTGTAGTGGGCAGGCAAGTTGAGGGAACCCAAGGGAATGGCAGTGGAACTTCTCGACGCCTGTGGTGGGCAAAGGGATAAGTACTACAAAAGGGATGAAATAAATCAAAAGTCACAGCAGCACAATGGGGGCAGTACTGATCAATCGGTCAAGAAGGAGCATTTCCCGAGCAGGTTTCAAGTCGAAGTGGAGAACTTGGGATTACTCAAACGCCCTGGCCGTTAGAGACAGCCCCCACACAAGTGCGACCTGAATCGGTACCTTTGCTTCCACAAGAATCATAGCCACAACACCATGGATTGCAACAACTTAAAGCAACAAGTCCAATCCCTTAGGTAAAGACAGGAGCGAACCAAGGAAAAAAGATTGACCAGAGAGACCAGCACTCATCCCGCCAAAAGATATATAGAAGTCTCATAAGAAGGAAGTGATAACTAATAATGTTAGTTGTAATTCTATTGTATTTTAGTTATCAAATTAGTTATTGTTGTTAAAAGTCTTGTGTTCACTTGCCTAAATAAAAGCTTTGTATACTCTAATTATTAACGTGAAGCATACTCTTTTATAGGGGTGTACATGGGTAGGGTTGGGTTGAAGTGGTTTTTTGAACCAACCCGGGTTTAGTGACTCGATAAAATCGAGTGTATAGGGCAACCCAACCCAACCCAACCCAAAGGTTGGATCAGGTTGGTCCCGGGTTGCTTCTTTTTTTTTTTCCTGTTTTTCGGAGTTACGAATCATTTTTAAAATTTACAATCTAATTTCCAGATGAACTACTAGACAAATCCTTACACACAAGAAGGCAGAAAAAAATCCCCAAATTGAAAATTTTCTAATGAAAGAGAAATACGAAAATGATCCAAGAATGAGACGTGTTGGGCAAGATCTGAAACAAAATAAATGTAAGTTTGGGTTCGATTACTTCTTTTTTTAACTATATTGCAAAAAAAAAAATCACTCAAGAATGGGAGGTGTTGGGCAAGAATGGGAGGGACGGTGGTCGATAGCATGCGACGACGATGTAAGAACATCGACGATAGTAAATCGGACAACCGCGATGGGAAACGAACGGGAATGGCAAACGGCGGAAATAAATCGTAAGCGTGAGAGATAGTGAGATCGAGATTGAGAGACAAGATTGGGAGAGGCTGAGAGGGGTGAAATGAGATCGAGATTTGAGAAGAGAAAGAGAGACTAGAGACTGATTGAGAACCTGGAGATGGAGGCCGTGAGATCGAGATTGAGAAGTGGAGTTGAAGAGGCGGCAGACTGCAGTGAGAGAAAGTATAAAAAACCCTAAATAGAAGACCTAACACACACCGAGAATCGAACCAAACTGGTCGGTTCTTAAAATTTTTAACCCAACCCAAACCGAAAATTTATCTAACCCAATCCAACCTTTACGGTTCGGGTTGGGTTACTCGGGTTCTTCAGGTTATCGGGTTTTTTGAACACCCCTACTCTATTATTCTAAATAGAGTTTATTACATGGTATGAGACAGTTTTGACTCACGTCTTTGATCCTCCACGTGTTTGCTCTACTTATCCTTCTTCAACTAGTGCTTCAATCTGTGCTTCTTCAATGGCGG